TATAATTACTTTCAGTTTTACCGCATTTTAACGGACACGATTAAACTTTCGACAGGCGGTGTATATAAAAATTTTCAACACAGTTAGCCAAGCGAGCAGAATAATCGAATTATCGCCTTTTCAGAGTTTCCAATCAGAGCTACCGTGGGCGGAATGTCCTAACGTATATTTCCAGAACGGCTCGTACGCGCCTGAACCAGAGTGTGTGGTACGATTTATTGGATTAATAACCGGCACGTTTAATCGTGATAATTACGCTATAACCAGCGATTGTTTCTCAGGTTAGCAGTCCCACGCAGTACTTCTGGTATCGGACAACTCTGATGATCTCCGAAGACATCAATACCCCAGAAGTGTTTAATTGGAAGATCGCTCTGGCATTGGTGATTGCATGGATTCTCGTTTATATGTGCATGATCAAGGGAATTGCATCTTCAGGGAAGGTATTCCTTTAAAGTATTCCATTGATAATTAAACGATTCTACGGTCCAATGACGTTATCAATTTTGTCGAATAACTTTATAAATTGAAATGTATTTTTATAGGTCGTGTACGTGACCGCTACATTTCCATACATTGTTCTCATCATTTTCTTCTTCCGTGGAGTCACCCTGACAGGGATGTCTGACGGTCTGCGACACCTTTTTACACCAAAGGTACAGTTCGTGTTATCCATTTACAGGGCCGTGTTTATCATAAAGCGCACTAAACGCAGATGCTGGGACTTCGTTTTAAAATTGTACTCCTCACAAACTGCAGTATAGACCTAGTTATAGTTGCAAAATAAAATATTTATTTTTAAATGTTAAATTCGTAACGTAAGAAGAAAAGATCGCTGAAAAATTTAAGCGCCAAATTTATTCAAGACTTACTCTTTCGAGGCCTCCAAAAGTATAAACGCGGCCCTGTTTATATACTTCTCATTGCAAATAATCGTTACTTGTCTGAATAAAATGAATTTGTCCAGTGGTGGAAATTAACTGATCCAGTGGTGTGGCTAGAAGCAGGCACGCAGATATTCTTTTCCCTCGGTTTGGCATTCGGCGGTCTGATAGCGTTTTCTTCGTACAATCCTGTGAACAATAATTGCTATCGAGACGCCATTATGGTCAGTTTGACGAATTGCTTCACTTCGATGTTCGCTGGGATTGTCGTGTTTTCTATCATCGGTAATTACTTCTTTCTTCCTTGAATCACAATTATTGCATAATGGTAAACATTGAGAAGAACAGTTTATATACACGTGTACATACGTGTATGCAGGTTTCAAAGCTACCATGGTCTACGAACGTTGCCTGTCTGAGAGGAACAGCACTCTCGTCAATATCTTCGGTCAGATAGATAAAATACCAGATGAAATACCAGCCAGCGGCACAGTTCTGAACATGACTGCAGAAAATGGAACGTTGGACAGCTTGATCATGCCAGATCTACCTGAATGTGATCTCCAGAAAGAATTGGACAACGTAAGCTATATCCTCCAAGCTTAATTTACTGCTATTACAAACTCTTGCTGCTTTCGACAATTTTCTTATTTTCCCTTATCTTTGCAGTCAGCATCAGGCACAGGTTTAGCGTTCATCATCTTCACGGAAGCGATTAACCAATTCCCTGGAGCTCAATTCTGGTCCGTTTTGTTCTTCCTTATGTTATTCACTCTGGGCATCGATTCTCAGTTTGGCACCCTCGAAGGAATCCATCTTCCGTAATTCGATTAAAAGTTTGCCAAATGAAGTTTCACCGTTTCTTCTTGTTTGAAAACAACAGGTGGCATTTGCTTGGTTTGCTGCATGATCTCCATGGCTTTCGCCCATGGTGCCGGTAGCTACGTTTTCGTGCTGTTCGACAATTTCAGCGGGAACTTTCCCCTCTTGATAATCGCCTTCTTCGAATGTATCGCTGTATCTTACGTGTACGGTTTGAAGAGGTACATATAACAACACCGAGGATACACGAAACATATTGTAAGATCGTTGGAATTGTTGGCATTGTCCCGTTCACAGATTCGCCGATGATATTGAATTGATGACTGGCAACCGTCCAGGCCTTTATTGGCTAATTTGTTGGAAATATCTCAGCCCGTTGGCTATGCTGAGCATTTTAATTGCCTCGATCGTGGAAATCCTCGTCGATGGAAGTGGTTATCCAGCTTGGGTTGCCAGCAAAGGTATTACAGAGAAACACGAGTGGCCAGTTTGGGCTTTGGTTCTCATTGGCGTTCTTATTCTCGCGTCTGTTCTATGGATTCCTACCGTTGCTATTTGCAGGTAACATCTTCGCATTTCCTCCGTTTAGACTCTTCGAAATTCTCACGTTCTTCACCCTATCTTTTGACGACGAATTTTTGTAATTCAGACTTTTCGGTATACTCATCATCGAGGATAACGAGAAAGCCTGGTTCCCCGCGGCTGACTTGAAAGAATTCCACGGAATCGTGCCACACGAAGTCACTCCGGCTGAGACTCTGTTATTCTGCATAAGAAGCGACGGATCCGAGGGTCTCTGTTGCCCTACCGGCGGTCCCAGCGACGACGACGAAGATCTCACCTAGGAATGGTTATCCTCGTGCATGTTGGATTAACATGTGTTTAAATGGTTCATAGACCGAGAAACAGCATTTTTTTACTTGCTATCAATGTTTCGAACTTTAGCGATGAATTTGAACGCAACTAGATGTTACACCTTTCATTCCTTGTTTCGATTTCAAGCGGGTACTTGACATCTCTTCTTCTTTCTTTTTCCTCATCTAATTTTAGAACATATCACAAGGGTACATCGTGTCAATTACTCTAAAGACGACGTTTGTATATGATTCGATCGGCGTTTATATCATGATATTGTGATGACAATATTTCGTTCCCTTTTTGAAAAATGTAACAACAGAGAAATTCGAAAGTACGAGTCTGTAGTAGCACGGCGATTAAAGCACAATACCGCAGTGTCTCTCCGCTGTTCTTCGAGTCTCTGAATCATTTAACGATGCGTACGCATGTCAATATCAATGTGGAAGGTGAAACGAAGGCGTTTTCAATATGTAAGTAATTTCCATTAGAATATGGGGGAAACGAACGAAGCGAATAAGGATTAAAATAACCAAGAAACTGCAAGTTCTGTATCTTTCGAGCTAAACTTACAGTTTCTTCGCTTGCAAGAAAATATAGGATACATCTCAGTTTTATTCAATTCGACATTGAAGCTTTATTTTGTACAATTTCTAATAATGTTATTAAACAAAAACAAAAAAAAAAAGACTAAAATACGAAGAAAATTCCGAGCAAAAGATCGGTAAATTCGATAAGAAAAAAGAAAAAGAAAGAAAGTATTTAAAGTATCTGTGAGAGAGAAAAGAAAATCAAGCAATTATTACAAAGGTAGAATTTCTACTGAATAAAATTTCATAAAATACGGGTTTTAGTGTTACTCGCGAGATGTATCATATATCTAAAGACTACTTAGCATTTAACGTGTCATTTTAGCATTTGCAATATACATCCGTAAAGAAGGACAAGTTAAAACCCTGCGACAGATTGCAGGTCGTAATTAATAGGGTAATATTAAAGTTAGATTCGAGACACTTTTACCGCTTAGCAAATTGCAAATAACGTGAGACATAAGATTAGAGGTAGGAGCCGTCCAATGGGCGTAACGAAAAAAAAAAAAAAGAAGGACGTTCCCGTATCGCGTTATACTTATTTCAATTTTTGACGAAGCATCGAGAGCTTAGAGTTACTTCGCTGATTAATTCTCCGTTTTGCTCTTTTACAATTCTGTATCGCTTTCTGCTTCTTTTTAAATCGTATTACATTACGAAACTTTCGAACATACGTAAGAAGAAGAAAAGAAACGAAGCAATGCATTCGAGAATCGTATAAAAAAATCTTCTTCGATGGTATCGCTCCACGTATGATACATTCGAACGATCAATAATTCCATCGTAGATCCCTTATTGATAAATATCAATTACTTTAGCGGTACTTTTACATACATATCTCACGTGACGAATTTATAGGCTTTCTTTCTAAGTGTATAAAAAGAAGAGACGAAGAAGAAGAAGAAGAAGAATTCGATGGGCAAGTGAGAATTGATCAACAGGTTCGGTAATTTTATCGCGTCGGAGATAGGAGTAAAGAAGAAGAAAAAAAAAAAGATGAAATGTGACAGACGCATATCAGAAACAAATATCAAGTATAATCAAGCGAGGAGAAATTTCGTTGCGATTTTAGCGTGTGGCGTGTTCGTCGGTGTGTTGCTCGACGAACGTTCTAATAATGTATAAGGACAATAAGAAATTTCTTAAGACTCGATGAGAGAAGAAAATCATCGTACGACAATAATGCAATTCGATTAATCGAAATTTTTTAATCGACAATGGAATTCGACAATAAGATGAACGTATTATGCACTGCACTTCTTGCACATTCACCGAGGCCTAGAAAATCGAGAGAGAGCGCTCGCGTGTCGGTCGAAGGAATAGAGGATTTTGTTCTCATATATTTTCTTAAACTGTACAATGTATTTTCTATGTGTTAAATTAACTCGCTTGCGTTTTTTCTAACGGTCACGTTTCTATCGTGCAACTAAGATAGGATACTTTTTAGAGAAATTTTACACAACAAAACAAAAAATCGGTCTGTCGAAGATACGAAGCTGACGAATGGAAAAATTAAAACCTCGAAATATAAAAGAAAGAAACAGAAAGTTCTTAAATATTCTCGAAATTGGTATTTTACAAGAAGGAAACGAAAAAGAAGAAGAAGAAGAAGCGGATCTATTCCTTCGATAAGAGAATCGTTTACTAAGCAGAGACTAGAGCAGTAGCGAGAGATATACGCTCTAATCGCGTCTATTTGTACTTCGGATCTCTCTATTTTGTATATGTGGCTTTTGGGTATGGTCTGAAATCTTTTTGACGAATTGTTGATCACAATGTATTTCAATACGGTTCCAATAGAGACAGCTTGGAAGAGAAGATGAGACTCGTTGTAGAACTCGCGTAAAGTATATTGAGATTTAGGTGATCTGTAAGAAAAGAAAAAAAAAAGAGATCATTTATTCCTTGTCTTCGATGAACTAATAGTTACACGCGTAACTTCTGATTTCAGATATATACATACACATATTCATTGGTAGATCACGACTTTCGTTGGTTTTTCAAGAAGGTGCTAAACTATAAAATAATGTAAGCGTGATTTCATACGAAATGATATATAATGAAGAAAAGACGTTGATAATACTTGTTAAGATCCTGTTATCGATTTAATAACGGCCCTGGTGATTATGTTGCTCCTGGACCGGTTTAGTAAATTTACTTGTACTCGCATATTCTATTTATGATTATTCAGATATGGAGTAGTTCAGCTGTAAATAATTGTTGAAGTGTCTTTTAAAACTGTAAAACTGACAATAATCTTTGCGGGACAAGGAGCAGCCGCGATGAAACATGATGAGTCTCCCCTTGCAATGAATAGTACAAATGTTTCTTTCACTATCGGTAATATGTTTCGTACGGGTTGTCTTGAACTGCGAAACATACGAGAAAATATCAGACAATAATTCATTCGAGTGAATTTTTTCTTTCTCCATATCATCATTTCAAGTCGTTTAGCCTCGAGGGGCCACGTTTGGTGTATATAGTGTGCTAACGTCGTTTAATTCTTAATATCCTTGTCGACAATTTTAATCGTGAATTACATGTAACACACACTTATTCCTTCTCTGAATAATAAAAACGAAATTGTGTAAGTAATTCGAACGTAAAACGGAGTATATATTATTTGCCTGAAAAAGACAATAATTTGTAGGATAAATCATTCAGACAATAATTAAGAGATCGATCGTTTAAAAAAAAAAAAAAAAAAAAAAAGAAAAAATGTAAGGTATAGGTTACAGTAGCGCACTCTGCACACTTATACGCCGTGCGATATAAAATCTATTTGTGCCCGCTCGAGGATTAAGCGAAGAACGTTGTTTCGTGATAATATCGGTAAAGCGAACGAAAAGTGTCAATGAGATGTATCGATAACATTAGAGACTATTACGTGCTTAATTAACGATAGGAGACGATATATCGACTTTAATATAGTATTACATTCTAAGTTTCGAATTTGTTCATTTCCGTTCGTTGTTTTTTTATATATTTTATTGAATTTGCGAAGTGTATTTGTACATGGAAGTCGTGTCCATCCATACTTCAGGTGCAATTTAAACGTGAAACCAGAGTGTTGTGTATTATTCGAAGTAACACAAGGGTAGGTTGTAAAGTTAGTTTTCGAAGATGATTCGCGTTATTGAAGTTTTATTGACGATACATCGTATCAGATAACCATTGTCGATGTAGCTTGCGCAATAATAATTAAGGTATACAGAGGCGGATGGTAGCTAATGTTACAATTATATATACATATAACGAGTATATATACACTGATATTACGTATACGTAAAACTGTACATATATATATTGTTGTCAGTTGAATGTTAAAATAAATACCGTGCGTGAACATGAATTTATTATTGTGTCCCAATTCCCTCACATTTTAAATAAGGAAACATCACTACACTAGCACTTTATAATACAGAGACATATTTAAAAAGAAACAAACTATTTCCTTTTCTTGATTATTAAAACCAAAGCATTTATCAATTTTGTTAGAAAATAAACAGTTTCTCCTTGTAAAAATATATGTATACACAATGTATACCACAGAAAGTAAAGTACAATGAAGTTAAGACGTAATATCTACGATAAAAGCGCGGGAAAGAGAGTAGTGTATATATTGATATACTTTCTAAGTTAGAGTCACAAGAAAGAACTGTAGTTTTCAATTTTCACCGAGTTTCACCTTACTTTTTAACAAAAAACAAGACATAAACATACTTTGCACAAATATAAATAAAAGAAGTAAGTTACCGCGAAACAGAACTGAAGGCAACTGATGAAGCATTCGACTTGAATAACGACGAAGTTTAAGTCAATGATTATGATTGGTTGAAAATATGCGAGGAAGTATCATCTCTTCATGGCAAAATACAACAATAAAAATTATGCGCAGAAGATTTAAAATTCAACGAAATAAAATTTAGATTTTATACTAAAAACAATATTTATTTTTGAAAAATATATGTTGCATGGGGAATAACATTTATGATATAAAACTGTTCGTTTCATTAGATTATATTGTTATAGTATGTGTTTATAACAATATAAAAACATAATGATGTTTAAATAATACGTGTAATCTTATTTGTATTATTTAAATTAAAAGTAGCATTGCTAACAGTAATATCCTACTCTGTTGATACAGCAGGGAGTAGTGACAAATTAATTCTTCAGAAATGCATCTAGATACTGTTATAATATAATATACATTGTAGTGCGTGGTGTAGTTTACACTTGTTATAACATTGAAGTTAGCAAACATTTTCTTTTTCCAGTGGTCTATGTTATTTATTTAATTTTCTTCGTTACTTTTAATTGACAAATTAATTCGAGCGTGACTCTTGTTAATTTTTGAATATAGTGTAAATTACTTTTAACCTCAGATTTAACTTGTATTTGGTATTTATAAATGAAATTTTTATTAAATAAATGTTAATGTTTGTTAATGTTTTGTGTTATTTGTTCTCTTAGTAAATAGTTATATTGCGTAGTAGGTTGAGTTCTTTAGTGAATGAATCGTATTTGTTGAAAAAATATATGATCAAAATTTGTTTTACCAAATTAATTCATACACGAAATATGAGTATTTTTACCCAATGTTTAAACCCTTTAACTGGAACTGTTACTTGGGAGGAAAAAGATGAACAGTATGATTATCATCAAGAAGTTGCTAGATCAGCATTTGCTGATATGTTGCATGACAGTGAAAGAGTTGGTATATCATATTGCATTGTTTTAAAATAATTTTCAGCTTGTGTACTTAAACACTTTCTGTTTAATTATAGAATCAAAAATATTATGCAGCAATTAAAGCTGCAATTAAAAATAAACATAAAATTGGAGAAGAAGCTAATGTACTTGATATAGGAACAGGCACTGGTTTGTTATCAATGATGGCTGCTAAATGTGGAGCAGACAGTATAACAGCTTGTGAGGTGAATAATTTCT